TCCGCCATCATTGTGTTCGTAACTGTTAGTGAATAGCGTAGCTGAGGATTCATTAGGTAAAAGAACTCATCCTCTAAAGCCTAATGATAATCCAGAGTTTCAAACAGGGTTCTCAGACTAAAATTCATTGTTAGAGATAAATTATGTACATTGAACATTTCACATGAATTCATATATATAGGTAATTTATTTATGTGAGTATACGAATGACATTAGAACATTATGTAGTCACAGTCACAAACTACACAATAATATATACTGACACTTTCTGATAGTGAACCATTGTGTAATCACATAGACTAACATTTAACCAGTGTTTAGTCACATCAACCTAGTGTGTTGTCACAACGACTAACATTATGTTGTCATAGTGGGCAGTAGTGTGTAGTCACCATTATGTTTGAGGGTCTATTAAAATCAATGAACTACATTTCTCAGTATGTTGTCACAGTCACTATGTACCAGTGTATAGTCACGCGTACTGCACAAATATCTTGTTACTGTTTGACCATCAATTCAAACATAATGGTGACTACACACTACTGCATTGCTGACAAATGTATTTATTTCAGATAATGAAAATTACTATAAAAACATAATATAGGGTGGGTCATATAACATGTATTACACATTATGTCTACTTCAAGAGCACAAACAAGTGATACCAGCCGTAGGCATGAACCAGTATGGTTATTACAAGAGCAAGATGATGATTACAAGAGTGAGAGATTTTCTGATCCAAATGAGTATTATGCCGGACTTCATCGAGACTGGGCTTTTCGTGTTAATGAATCACAGTCATTATGCACAGATTTGGGAGAACTTGGTGTACCGGTGCCAAATAGATTTTCACTTACCATGCCTTGAAAGAATAGAGTCAACTATGAAGTATCAGTTAAACGTATACGAAAGGAGAATAATAGGATGATGTTTCGCAAGTATCGATATTATATGCTCCAAATAGCATCTGACATGGTCTCAACAGCATTTGGCAGAGAGTTAATAGCTACTGAGTGATCTAAGGTATTGTCTAATGAACAATACCTATCAGATGAGTATATGTCTGATAAAAATTAAAAAATTTAATTACTGTTCACCTTATTAAGCATATAACGTTTATGTCTATGTCCTATTTACTTTAATCATCATTTTTTGCTTATGAGTTTATTCAGTATGTTGTCATATGTCAACTTTTTTATTGTCACATCTTGTAATTGTCAATGTATGCAGTGTGTTGTCATTTTAGTCAATTTATGCAGTGTGTAGTCAATCTATGCAGTGTGCTGTCAATTTAATCAATTTACGCAATGTGTTGTCATATCCAAACTTTTTCATTGTCATTTTCCATCACTGACAAATTAGTTCCAAACTATGCCAAACCGAGCATATATATATATTACATTTCACAGTTGTGTAAATACACCACTATCAAACAAAAATATATAGGAGCACATCACATGCTAGTTCTTCTTCACGCAATCACCAAAATAGTTCATCTTCGGGTAACAAATGTGAACGCTCAACAGACAACTCAACATCGCAGAACAAAATTCATTCTATTGAATCATATATCGACTCCAGTGGTGTAACGTGGTATGGATGAAAACGTGCATTCCACAATGAGTCCATCGACCCTTATCACCTATTCGGACAAGCTGGACATGTAATTGTTGGACCTGCAACTGATTATCCACCTCCATGTGCTCATATTGAACCCATATCAATATGACGACAATTATATGACAAACGTTGTGACCATTTTGTCGTTGGCATGGAATTGCAGTACCAAAAGCACATTCGACTGATATTTACAATTCACAGAATTCAAACAATCATAACAAGGTCAGTTCAAGACTTGAACGTGAAAATGATCAAATGCAGCGTCGTCTTGATCGTTTCACGCACTCGATTATGCTAAAATAGAGCATTTTGATCCTGAATATGCTGAAATTGAAATTTTAGAGGATCCGTTACTTGTTTCTGATCCTAAGCTTTCTGATTTCTCTAATTTGGACGATGATGCATCTGACACTTTTATCCCATAATGTTTATGTATACTCGATGATCCTTTATCTTCTTTTAAATATCAACCACGCTGTTGACATCTTATTTTTATATTTATACGTTCTGAATAACTTATATTTTTTCAGAACGTATACTTCTAGAGGAGAAATTATTGGGTGTAACACTTACAGTTTGTATGGGACCATAAATTGAATTATATGTATATGTTTTTAATTTTTAAAGTTGGATATGCTAAAAAATATAAGTATTTTTAAATTATCAAAATTTATTTTTTGAATGTAATTAAAATTTTAATTAAATAAAAATAAACTCATCCTCTCACAAAGAGAGGGAGCAAAAATTTTTTAGGTATTATTGTTAGGGAGAAAAATGTTAGTAGGATAAAGGAAATTTATGTATTTTTAAATTATCAAAATTTATTTATTGAATGTAATTAAATTTTTAAATAAATAACATAAACGAAATTTATGTATTTTTAAAATATAAAAATTTAGTTATTAATTAATTTTTTTTAAATAAACATTTAACATTTTAGTCAGAAAAAAAAAAGACACAAAACCTATCACTAAGAACTAAATTAAAACTCAAGATAAAATTTAAGGGTAGTTATGATAATTATCCAAACATAGATTATTTTATTCAAGCATTACATATTTGGTGTGCTTGATCTTGTCGGTGGAGTTTGATATGCTCAAAAAATATAAATATTTTTAAATTTTCAAAATTTATTTATTGAATGTAATTAAATTTTTAATAAATAAAAATTTAATTACTCATCCTCTCAAAAAAAGAGAGAGCAAAATATTTTTTGGTATTATTAGGGAAAAAATGTTAGTGGGACAAAAAGAAATTTATATATTTTTAAAATATCAAAATTTATTTATTAATTAATTTTTTTATTAAATAAACATTTAACATTATTTTATGTGTAGGTGGTACAACATAAAATAATTGAGTGGTTTGATTATATATGTATTGTTTTATTTATTTATTGAGGCAATAGTGCTTGGTCTTTTTTCGGTGTAGACATGGCTTTAATTGGGTGCAATACAATAAATTTATTTTTCTAGTACTGCATATAGGCTTGTTAACGGATCAAATTTAGATAAAATTCTGATTGATCTGAATCTGAATCTGAATTCGATTTCAAAAGTTTGATTTGAATCCAATAATCCGATAAATTTTGTTTTCGTGGTCCATATTCAAATTTATTAACAATCCAAATTTTGATATGTTCCAAATAACTTAATTAACTAAATTTTTTAAAATAATTATTTAATTTCTTTAAAATTTATATGAAAATATATAAATAATTTGGATCGGATCGAATCATAATCGGATTTGATATAATTATATTATAATTCGAATCCGTGAAAATATAAGATATCAAATTCGAATTCAAATTATTAATAAAAAATATTAATTGATATACAATTAATCACATTTGAATTAAAATTTGATCTATTGTTACCGCATAGAAGATAATGTTGCATGCACACGTTTATTTTATTATAAACACGTTAAATCGACTGATGTTTTTAATGGTGGGCTCACCAAGTGGGCTAAGTTACCGTATTGGGCTAAAAAACATCAAATAGACTGAAGTTTTTAGGATAAAGATGTCAGTCCATTTAACGTCTTTATCCTAAAAACGTCAATTCATTTGACATTTTTAAAAAGTACCTGTATTTGAGAATTATTTTCAAAACCACCCTTATTTGGAACTTTTTTTTTGAAAGTCCATGGATGAGTCAAAAGTTCGCATTTAAAATCTTACTTAAAATCTTACCAACGGTGCGGTAGTTTTAACATCTCTAATTATAATTCTGCCATATTTACGAGAAAATATCAATTGTACCACCTCACCATTTCAATAATAAAGAAAATATCGATTGTACCACCTCACTATTTCAGTAATAAACCAACAAGTCAAAATTTCATTAAAACTGATAACTACTCGGCCATAATAAATTAAATTAACAAATTAAGTTAATAAATTAGGTCGCAGACTCGCAATAGTATTTCTCGCAATTCTTAACCACTTCGATAATAGAATATTTTATCCATTTTATTATTTTTTTTATTGGTGGGTTACATTTTACTCCTCACACCCACACCCTGATCCAAGTATCCTTGGATATTAACTATTATTATGCTAAATTAAAAGGAATACAAAATTAAAATTTAAAATAATTTTATAAAAATAATCAGTATGGAATAATTTAATATGATGAGATCTATCTATAATTAAATAATTCAACATAATAAAAATCTAATATTTGATGAGAAAAAGTATGCAAGAGAAATGCAGAGTTTGAATGGGATTAGGAGTTTAGTACTCCATAAAAATACCCAATTGACTTTAATAAAAATGAATTGGAGTAGAGAAAAGTTAGAGGCCACTATGAACAAATTACAAAATTTAGTCTCAACCATTATGGAACTAATCCAGGTGGCTAATCCCTCATCACCCAGTAGGAAGGTTATGATTGACGCCTGAGGCAATCCATCGCTACATGAAAAGCACTCAAACCAAATGTCCCTCTGAATCAATTTTTCTTACACTATTAATCAACACAACTAAACTCTATTCATGTTCTTAAATTAAAATCATATTTATTTATTTTTATCAAATTGTAAGCACAAATAAAACTGGTTGAAAGATTACAATGGTTGGTGTTGGGGGACAGAAACCATTCAAAGCTTCAACATAAAATCATCTCATATCCGAAAGTGACTTTGACCGTTTCTGACCCCTGAGTAACCATCTTTCCACGTAAGATAATAACCACCACATATTCAAAAAAATGAAATTCACTTGTCCACTTGTTTGTTTATAATTGGGTTTGGGTGGTTACATCCAATACTTACCCCACCCCTTCTCTCAAATTCTCAAAACAACAGCTGTAGGGTTCAATGTGCAATCCTGGACAAAGAGAAAAATCAAATAAATTATAAGACCGACATATCTTACAAGTATTCCTTAGTCATTGGAATTTGGAACTTGAGTGTTAAGAATAGCAGTGTTGATTACAAATTTTGCTAGGAAACATTAAAATTTCAATATCAGCAGTTACATCCTGTGCAGGTTTTGAAGGAAAGAAAGTCTTCCATTTTATCTCCAAAACATGGTCTTGTTCCAGTACTCAAAACATTTCAGGTTAAATTACATTAACATTAATTCAAAACTCAATAAAGTTCAGCATTTCAGTTCGACTTTTGACCCATTTTTTATATATGGGCAAATGGCATCAACACCAATGTTATAGCAGCTTTTTGCTTAGAAAGCTCAGCAATGTGATGGGATCTCAAAGAAGTTTCACAATGTGGAATGCCGATAGAGATTTGAGTAGCTTGGTTTCAAATCAATGCCAAAACAAAACTGTCTTAATGTGCACGGCTCTTCAGCGGCAGCCACCAGCCAATGCATTTGGGACTACTGAGGAACAAAGATCACATTGATTATATGTTCTCAATGATCACAAGGTTTGAAGAAAGACATAAAGGAAGGAATGCAAATGTAACATGAATTTACTCGAAGAATTGACAGGCAGAACATGATGCAATAGTAGTAGGTAAACGAACAAGGTGTGCTTGCTACTATAGCATTTATTCAATATACTTGTATTAGATTCACCACAGCAATAATATTGGCAAATAGTTTACGAGCAAGATAGATGCAACAACAATTTCTCTTTTCAAATGTTCAATGCTGGTGAATTATCAGCAGGATAAGCTAAAAGAATTTTAAAAATGCCTTCAGAAATAGTAGTGAAGAAGAGTTTAGGTACCACTTGTTCACCAACACAAGGATTTGGTCTGAAGACTGAAGATTCAAGTTCATGACATCACAACAAATTCATGCCGACTGTGAGCTGGTCGAAGTTGACAGCAAAGTACAGCCCCCATATGGGATAAGGTAAGAAGTGCCCACTAAGAGCATTGGTGAAAATTGACTCATTTTCAGTCCTGCCACTAGAAGCCTGTATCCAACAACCAGATTATGTCACCCAATAAAAGTCACTCGACATAACAAATATGCAGTTATGCAACAAATTAAAAGCTGCACCTCGTTCTGAGGTACGAGGGGCACATGATATCTGATGTTTCCTACAGAGGGTAGTCGATTAAGTCACTGGACAGAAAATCTAGCATTTCTTGTATTTGAGCTCGACATGAGTGTGACACGTCTCCTGAAACAAACTCATATACCTCCCCATACACCTCTATCGCACTGCATCCTGGTGTTTTCTTGAACCCTTTATCGCCTATCATCCTGCGTATCCTAAGTGCATCTTCACGTTTTCGTGCAGCCAGATAAATGTTTGATAATTGAACATAGACTCCATTTTCTTCAGATTTGTCGTCATCTTCTAACAGTAAAAGCTCTTTGACAGCCAGTTCTGCAAGCTGAACTTTATTATGGGTTCGACAACCACTCAGTAAGGCACCCCAGACTGAGGCAAGGGGCTTCATAGGCATCCTTCTTATAAGCTGAAGTGCTACGTCTAATTGTCCTGCCCTACAGAGCAAGTCCACCACACAACTGTAATGCTCATGTTTGGGAAGAACACCGTATCGAGCTTCCATGTTCTCCAACAAAAACTGGCCTTCCTTTTGAAGGCCTGCATGGGTACAAGCTGTCAAAACCCCAAGGAGGGCCACCTCATCAGGCCCAAGTCCATCTTCGACCTGCATCCTCTCCAAACAATGAAATGCTTCTCTCACATACCCATGTACTGCAAACCCACCAATCATCACTGCCCATAAGAATACAGTCCTTTTAGGCATCGTTTCAAATACCTCCACAGCCTGTTCAATACACCCACACTTCACGTACATATCAACCAGCGCAGTCCCAACAAAAACATCCGAAGAAAATCCTTTCTTCTTTTTCACATGCTCATGAATCCACTTGCCCTGCTCAAGTGCCCCCAAATGGGCACAAGCTTTGAGCGCTGTGGTCACGCAAAACTCATCAGGCTCAATTCCAGACACCAACATATCCCGAAAAACGTTCAAACCTTCCAAAGCCAAACCGCATCGAACGTATCCATTAATAAGTACATTGCACTGAACAACATCTCTGTTAGGTATTTCACCAAACAGTTTCCGAGCATCATCCAAAACTTTACACTCTGCATAGAATCGGATCAACGCCGTCCCTACATGACCATCCGACAACGCCAAACCATTTTTGACTAACCAGTTGTGTATTTGCTTACCCGTAAACATCAACGATGCATTAGCACATGCGATGATGACGAATGGAAAAGTGTAGTGATCGGGACACAATATATTGTTGTGCAGCATGAGATTGAAGTAATGGAGTGCCAAGTGAGGTTCAGAACTACGAGAATAGGCCCTGATGAGAGTGTTGTAAATAAATGAATTGGGATTGGGGATTTGGGTGAAGAGGAGAGAAGCGTAAGGGAGGTGGCCATAGTCGGAGAGAGCGCAAACGGCGAGGAGTTTGCTGATGGCGAAGGTGTTGTGGTGGATGCCGTTGGTGATGAAGATGGCGTGGATGACCTTGAGGTGGCGCATATTGGTGCAGCGTTGGGCGAGTGACATGCACCGTTTCCATGCTTCGATGCCTTGGTTGGCACTGGTTATCAAACGGCTCATGTGTGTACATTATTGTGGTGGAGCTGAAGGTGTTCTACTAACGGCATATCTGAGTTTTTGTTCTTTGATTTCCCCAAGTAGACTAACCGTTGTTTCGGAGTCGGACTTAACGATTAGGATTACTTAAAGAACGAATTGCAATTTCTATCTTAAAGTATTTCAAGTTTCTTATTTTATATTTTTAAATATTAAAATTTTCACATTATAATTTTAATTTATAAAAAATGTTACAATATAATTCTTCAATAAGTTTTTTGTTAGTTTTTTCATCAGTCTCAATGAGTTGATTTTTTATCAAAAAACAATAATAAAAATTAATAGAAAGATTACATTATAATACTTTTAATATATTGAGAATATATTATTAAAAATTTAGTCTTTAAAAATACAAAATAGAAATGTTAAAATCTTTCAAATATAAAATGCAAAAAACCCTAATTACACCAAAAAAAAACCTAAAATCTGCATATCATATAACCTTCTATAGGAAAATATTTAAATAACACCCCCTCCCCTAATTTTCATCTTTTTAATATTAAAAATCAAACATTGATTGTACATTATTTTAAAAAAAATAAGATAAGAAAGAGGTGAGAGAAGAGAAAAAAAAAGTATATGTGTGAATTAGTAAGGTTGTATAGCATTGTGGGTCATGCAATGAAAATGATATTTTTAAATGAAAAATAAATTTTTGGATTAATTTTGTACCATTAGATCAAAATAGATAAAAATCAAATTAATTTTGAATGTTGTTGTACTTTTATAAGTTGAAATTTTAACTTTTTAGCTATAATGTATACCTCTATACCTGACGGACGCTAGACAAAGGGGTCTTTGTGCGACATTTTACAAAATTGAAAGGGTCCCTATGTCATTTAACCTAATCTCAGGGGGTGTTGGTGATTTTTCCGCTAAAGTATTCAACCTTGAAAAATGGATGAACTATTCTCACTCCCACAAATTTCTATTCCTAAGTTCATTTTATTTCTTATTATCAAACTACTAAGTCCACCATTTTTATATCCACTTATTTTATACTCATCTCATTTATAACTAAACTCACTCCATACACCCTATTAATAGTTAAACTCACTCATTCTATATACACCTCTTTTAATAAAAAAAATATTAAAAAAAGATAATTAGCTTGAATGTATAAATATATTTACGAAACAAAAAAACAAAGAAACAAGAAAAAAAAAAGAACAGGTAAAAAAGACAAGGATGTAGAAACAAGAAAAAAATAAAAGAACGAAATAAGAAAAAATCAAAAAGAAATAAACAAAATGAAACAAGAAGTAAAAAAAAACTACAAAGATACAAAACTAAACATGAAAAAAAAAAACAATGATCAAGCACAGAAACAAAATTGAACAAGAAAGAAAAAATAAGTAGCATAGATGCTAAACAAGATAAAATAAAAAATCTGAAAGCATACATATATACACATATAAATTTTAAATAAAAAATTATTAAACTTGACAGAGTTATTAAAATATATCGAAAATAATGAAAATTCATATAACAAACATAAAATCAAACATATAATTAAATTGAGAAATAATACTAGTCTATATCTCATTGGAAAAATTTATATTGATTTTTTTTTTTTGTGAATGTATGAAATAAGATAGAGAATAAAATTGTAATTATGATAAAATATAAAATATGTTTATTTATTAAAAATGGTATACGTAACATGAGGTAATCTTAGATTTTAATAGGATTGGTATAGCATGATTGTGTTTAGTAATTTGATAATAAAAAATTAAATAGGAGGGAAATTTGTGGAGGTGGAATACTCCAGACCTTTAAAAATTCTGGGCCTAATTTATCGACTTGACCTCTGGACCCAGGAACAAATCATCATCCTGCATCGAGACACACCAGATCCCTGTTTGATATTACAGTCCACTCCACTCCGCTCCATCTGCTGTGAAATTGTATCAACGGAACAGCGCAATTTCAGACACGCCATGAGCATCACCTTCCAGCGGTTCATCCTTCAGTCTGGGTTTACTTTCCAATCTTCAACTATCACCAGAAACTATGGTTATTTTCATTTCTTCCCCAGGAAAAGAAGATTTTGTGCATGCACCCTCTCTTTATCTCAGAAGAAGGTAAATTTGCTTGATTGAATAGACTCTTAGACACACATTTTATCAACTTTAATGGGTTTTGTTTCTTTGTTTTGGAATACTCATGGTAGTTATTTTATACTCTGAGTAGTCAAGTGAGGAGCTACTGGTGGTGGTAGGAGGTGGAGCAGCTGGAATATATGGAGCAATTATGGCTAAAACTACTGCACCCAATCTTCAAGTGGTGGTTATTGAGAAAGGGAAGCCTCTATCAAAGGTTTGTATTTTTTTTAAAGTGTATGTATCTGTTGCTTTGACGCAACGGTAAAGTTGCTTTGAGACCTGGATTGAGACTTGGAGGTCCTCGAGACACAGACATGGAAACAGCCTCTCTATTTGTAGGGTAAGGCCGTACATCTAATCCAAAGCTTTACATCTAACCCTTCCTAGACGATGGCGGGAGCATCGTGGGGTATCTCCGTACCCATATGTATCTGTGCATAATCTATGCCCATGTGGACTATAACGACACTGTTGCCTGGTCTAGTCATAGATTTAACCAAGCTATTTTTAAATTAGATTATTTGAAAAAATTCTTTTAATTGTAATTAAGTACACTCCCTAAGAAGAAAACTGAATGTGTTTGGCAGGTTAAAATTTCTGGAGGCGGCCGATGCAATGTGACAAATGGGAATTTTGCTGACAATATGGTGAGGATTAAATATGCAGCTACATTTGTAAGAATGTGAGCAATTACGAAAAGTGCTGAATTTAAAAAGTTGGTGGCACTTTGTGATACTGAATCATGCTTAATAATAACATTGTCCTTGGGTTAGAAAATGGGGGATGGAACCAATAATACAAAATTTGGGGAATTCATTTCATCTATTGCCATTAAATTGCTGTTTTTACAAGCCTAATCGTATCTTTCTATTGCTCTTGATATATATGAAGATATGCTAGCCATTCATCTATTATTGGTCATCGGTTTATTGTGTTAGTTTTAATTTTGGTTGCCTAGTAAGAGGTGACTGGTGAGTGAAGAATGATGACTGAACTTTTCTTAGCTCACAAGGGAAAAAATCCATATGGATTGTTTAATCCATTTCTGATAATGGTAGTATAACTACTAACTTCAGATGTTCTCATCTCAAAATCTGAACGAAATGTGGTTCTACTGATAGACTATTAGATAATTCAATATATCATCGAATGTGAAATTCATAACTATAGATGAGTTGGATTTCGGAGGGTGCCCTTAGTGAAAACTTAAAATGCTATGCTTCCCAGTTCTTAGTTTACCTTCCTTTATTGGGAACTAAGGACACATTTCTGCTCCAGATGGACTTCAACCAATAGCTTTATGAAATAAACACAACTAAAGAAAATTGATTGTCTTTCTTCTGCTACGTTTATTGAATGTATTATAATTTAACTAAAATAGTTAAACATGCAGTGATTATTTGAGCATTAGTTTCAATATATGGCTCTCAATTGAGCATTTGTTACACTATATTGGTCTCGATTGAGCATTTTTCTTTATGAGTTGATCAAAATGCCTAATGCTAACACTATGCATAGATTTTGGCAGACCATTATCCAAGGGGTAACAAGGAACTGAGAGGCTCATTCTTTAATATGCATGGTCCAATGGATACAATGTCCTGGTTTTCTAATCTTGGGGTGGAACTGAAGGTAGTCTTTGAGACTACATGTTTCACTTTCTTTTATTCCCAAATGCTGTTAAGCTATTTGTTTGTTTTGTTTTCTATGCCTGGTTACAATTGGGTTTTCTCCTTGTGTCTCAGATTGAGGATGATGGAAGGGTATTTCCTGTGAGTAACAGTTCCTCTTCTATAATTGATTGCCTAATGCTTGAAGCAAAGCAGAGGGGAGGTATGTACTGCTAAGTTTTTTTTTGGGTAAAAGTTTCTTTATGTAATGCTTTTCTTCTTTATTAATTTTCAGCCATTTTTTTTTCTTTGTGTGTGTGTTGTTTCCCTCAAATCTGACCAGATCTTCCCACCCTTGTCTTTTGCTAAGCAAACTTTGAAATTAATTTGCCTTTTGATTGGTGCGTGCGAGAGTAGATCCGAAGGTTTTCCTTGCTTTAAGGAAATATCTTCACCAACCAACTGAGGAAGAGATAGTTAGTTAACAGTCAAGGGTGATTCATTCAGTATTTAATCTGTTTTAGTGTTCTCTCTTTCTCACATAAGGCATAGATGCTTTACTATTGCGATTCATGCCCAAGATACTCAGGAAAGTTGAATCTATTGTCTTCTGTCACCTTCGTAATGTATATCAAATGTCTTAGCTTGAGCAGCAATATATGATTTAAATCTAAAAAAGTAATTTGTTAATTATCTTCTTTCAATGATTTTCTGGAACATATACAGTTAATGCTGAAACACGTGGGAAAAAGGATTAAAGATTATATGTCTGTATATATTGATTACTTGTTAGCAAGAAGCTGTAACCCAGCGGATTCATTAAATTCCAACTGTGCCTCTTTCACGAGAAAAATGTACAAAAATATATATGCTAATTTTTAGTTCATACTCTTGTATCCTTGAAAAACAAAGAAAGAGGAAAAAGTTGTATAAATCCTTAAGTTGTGTTTTACAGTTCCGTTACCAATTATAAACCTTTGTGTTCGATGTTGTCGTAGATATTAATCATCAATACTCTTCTTGAGCTTACCTATTGCAGATATGCATTCACATTATGATATGCTCTTCTCAAAGCTTTGATGTTATTCTTTCATTATCATGGTGCACATGCAAGCAGTTCATGCTTATATGTGAGTTCTTCAATCAGTTATCTTGCAGACTGGCAAAGCTGTTACAACTGCATCTTCTACTGTTGGGGGGAAATTTGTGCTCAAGATTGAGAAACGTACCATTGATTTCATAGAATATGTTGAAGCTGATTATCTATTAATTGCTAGTGGGAGTAGCCAGCAGGTTGTTATCAATAAGTAGCTAATTGGCATTCTAGTCTTGCGAAATAGATTCCCCTGTTTAAGTCCGTATTGCTGTTTTTTCAGGGCTATAATATTGCTACCCAACTTGGTCATTCTATTATCAAACCAGTACCAAGCTTATTCACTTTCAAGATTGATGATTTGCAATTGGCAGAACTGTCTGGGGTAGGGCTCTTTCATAAACTCTAAACCCTTTAGTTTTAGTGAAAAAAATCTTCTTTTTCTTTGCTCGAGCAACTCAAATCGGGTTAGTGAAGAACAATCTTAATTTGGGATTACATATTATTAATGGTACTCCCCCCCCCCCCCCCTGTTTTTTTCCATTTGTAATGTTCTGAAGTCACCAATCAAATATAACAAAATAATATTTGTATAGTAAATGGAAAGGTTTTAATTGTATTAATGGAACTGTTTTAACATTATTCTCTGCAATCTTCTCATTCTAGGGCACGTATATGATTAATATAGTGATGAGATTATGGCTTGAATTATATTGGACAATTTTCTCCAATGTCAACTGTTGATGAAAGAGGACTCAATGATCTCTCGTGTTGTTACACGGTGGTTGTCTCTATTTATTTATTTTTTTAAATATGATTCTCAACTCTGTTGTTTCATGGATTCCTCTGCATTCATCCATCTGAAATATATTTTTCATACGTATAGATTTTTTGTAATTTCTGATCATTTTTATTACTTCATAAAAAGTTCAACTAATTTTACATTTTTGTGGCCAGGTTACATTCTCGAAAGTTAAAGCAAAGTTGAAGTTAGATACTGTCTCAAAGAACATACCACAGCTGACGCAGGCATGCTTTTCTAATTGTTGTCATTTGTGAAATTGATGAAAATGTAGTGCATATAGCCATAATTGTTGGGATTTTAGATTGGACCCATGTTAGTCACACACTGGGGACTTAGTGGGCCTGTAATTCTTCGGTTATCTGCTTGGGGAGCCCGTGATCTCTCCAGTTCAGAATATAAAGGTTAGTAATGATCCCTCTTTCTTTTTTGGTCTCTTTCACCTCAATATTGATATTGTCACTCTTCTACTTAATAGCATATGTGTCCAGGGATACTTCATGTGGATTTTATACCTGATCTTCATATTGAAGATGTGAAGTCTGCTCTTATTCAACACAAGCATCATTTTGTGGTAGTCGAACTCTCTGACATTATTTTCACCTGGGCTCTTTTGTAGTTCTTTTTGTTGAATTTAAGTTTTATATGGAGGATAGGCTTGCTTCATTTTTTAATAGTCACAACATTTTTATCATTATTTAGAAAATGGAAATTGAAGAGAAGGAAAGAGGAAAAAAGAACCCATATTTTGTTACCCATAAATGCAATATTATCATTACGAATAAATGCCATGGACACCATTACTTTCCCCGTATTTCCACTTGTTAGTCTGTCACGATTTATGTGCTTTTTTTACATAATAGTACTTTGTTTGTATTCGAGAAACCATTGTAATTTATTAACTTACCACTGATAATTGCTTTTTTTTTCTGCCCGCTGAAGAAACAAAAGGTGATCAATTCATATCCTTCAGAACTTGGCCTTGTGAAGAGATTTTGGAAATATGTATTAGATCGTGAGGTTGTATGACCGTTTCATTTGAAACATCGTCTTTTTGTCCACCAGTCAAAACTAATGTATTGAGAATAACTTCCTACATCCATCTGCAGGGCTTAGGTGGGGATATCTTGTGGGCTTCTGTTTCCCACAACTTGCTAATGTCAGTTGCTTCTCTGTTAAAGCACTGTTCGTTTCAAGTGAAGGGAAAAGTATCTTTCTGCACTTCACTTTTCTCAAATTCTATTTACTTCATATATCTGTGGATTTTAAAAGGGATCTGCATTTATATATACTGAAGGGCCAATTTAAAGATGAATTTGTCACTGCTGGAGGTGTTCCATTGTCTGAGGTGCTGTCTCCCTCCCCCCCCCCCCAATGTGCCCAATGTGTGTGTGGGTGAGTTTGTGTATGTGTGTTTGCTTTTGTGTAGTTTATTGAAATGTAACTTTTGTCTTTGTGAAGATCTCACTGAACACCATGGAGAGCAGGATACAGTCACGTCTATTCTTTGCTGGAGAGGTAGAGTTTGATGATATACTTTTGATTTCATTTTACCTCTTGTCACACTAACTTTCATAACAGTCTAGACTTCATGCCTCTATAGCATAAAGCATGTCATTATCCTATGTTAAATTTTATCAAGGACTATGATCCATTTGTGTCATTTAAAGGTTGAAACTTTTTCAGGTGCTGAATATCGATGGAGTAACTGGAGGTTTCAATTTTCAGGTAAGGAAAACATGTTTAGGGGGCAAAATTGCATTATTGTTGGTGTGTTGATTATCAATGTGCCATTATACCATATTTACCTCCCGAAGCTTCTTTCTAAACTTTTTTGCAAAGTCAGACAGTAGTCCGATCCAATTGGTTATTATGTCAATCAATGTTGCTCGTAATTAACCCCCCCCCCCCAAAAAAAAAAAAAAAACCCCTTCTCCCCTTCCAACAAACAAAAAAACGTGGGTTACTGTTATGGGATCATTTTGCTTGGTTCTTTAAACTAAATCCAGAAGTCCTATGGGGTTATTCTAATCTTCCAAAATAGTGCTTAAAATTTCTGCTGTTCTAGTCTTCATCACGCTGCGTGGCGATACAATGGTTCCAATAACACCCAAGTAACTGCATCATCTGCCCTTTCACCCTGCTCTAAGTACATGCTAATTTTGACAGTGGTTCCCTCGTTTCCGTTTCTTTATCTCTTGCAGAATGCTTGGTCAGGTGGATATATAGCCGGGACTAGTATCGGTAATATGGCAGTGGCTGATATTCTGAAGGAGGAAGTTTTGTCATAGGCATGTAAATATGACACAATAACAACCACCCCACCCAAAAAAAAAAAAACAATCCGTTTTACTTTTATATTTCTTTCTGCGAAATTGTTTTACCCATATATCACATAGTCAATGGTAGTGCAGTTGTTTTTGAGGTTGATTTTCTGTGAAGATAGGCTATAGGATGGCAGTGGACCGGGCCTGGGCCTGGGCCAGGGGAACAGTCTCTGTTTCCATATACGCTTCAAAAATATTTGTCTATCCCTACTCTATAATCTCCGTTCCCGTCCCGCGGATAAATTTTGATCTTCATTCTTGTTCATAACAATTAACTTATATGATTTTAAGAATTAGTAATTTTTAAAAAATAATAAATACCTTAATCTCGGCGTAGATGACTTGTCTCTGATTGGACTGAAGAGGGGTTTAGTTGAAGTATGTGTAAATTAGTTCGGGTCACCCCTGATTATTAAACTTAAAAAAAAAAAAATATGGGTCATTTGTCAAGCCTTAGCAGCTTCGAAATTCTATTCGGAGCCTACAATTAGAATGTTTGCAGTTGCTTTCTCTCTTTGTCATTCACTATTGATGGTCTTAATTTTAGAATTATTATGTTGTCCAAATTAAAATTTATTCTTTTTTATTTTAAATGCATTTTTATTTATAATTGGAGATTTAGATTTTAATTTAGACAACATAATATCTCTCTTTTTATTTTTGTTGTCTATGTTTAGGCTTAAAGGTAAATTTATATACATGCTCCGTCCAAAGAGCACGTGCATGACTTTAAAGGTAATACGTATCTTGACCTAATGCCTTCGTGTCCAAGTTCGTTTCACTTTGATAAACAGCATAGTTTGTGGCCGAGGACAAACGCCAAATAAGCTACGTCAACGACAAGTAACGTTCCATTTTTTCTTCTACGCGATCTGGACCATATATTTAAGTCTACTATTTGCTTCTTGTTACTGGTCAGCACTCAAAGACAAGCATCATTTAAGAGTATCAAGACCAGCGGTTCCATGGTGGTGGACTGGGTCAAAGTTTTGAGGGGGTTGGTGAGCATCGTGGTCTACCCCGTCCCACCCAGTAGCCGCCCATTTTCCATAAATTAAGGAAGGAAAAATTGAAATGAGGTATATTAAATTAAATTTAATTATAAAAAAGTATATACAAAAAAATGTTGGGTAATTAAGTTTTTAATTTTGATACTTATTTGTATCTAAGTACATTATTTGAATTTTATTGATTTTTTTGTGATTTTTTTACGCTTCATTAATTCGTGTGTTTTTTTTTTGGAAAGTAATGCATTAAATATTTCATAGTTTTACATAGGAGAACTTTAATATATATGTATATACAAAATTATATATATATACTTTTTGTTAAATCTTTTATCTAAATTTTAAATTATCTTTAATGTACCTTGATTCATGCATATTTTTTTTTAGAAAGTGATTTTGTTTTCAAATTATATTTAATGCACCTTGATTTATGCGTTTTTTTTTTTTGGAAAATGATTTTATTTTTAAATTAATTTAATATCCGAATAGTGTAATAGTGTAACAATAATATGTATTAACAACACACATGAATCAAGATGGTAAGAGATTTTGAATTAAATGTCCCTAAAATAGACATTTACGTCTTTGTATCTCAGCTGTATATTTTTTTTCAAAATATTTTATTCTATGTACTTTTTGTCAAATAAATTTAATTAGGTGTACCAATTTCTAAAGAACTCATTGATCAAACAGTCAAACTAATAAAACATTGTCGGGGTCTAGTTTTGTGATAGCCTACTACGACTAAAAGATAGGGTTAATTGTAAATTGCATTCTAAAATATCGTTCGAATCTCAATTTGTACCTCCAAAGATAAAAAATTTTAATTTGCACATTCAAATATATAAATTTATATTAATGTGCACCCCCAAAAGATCAAAAATCTCAATTTACACCCTCAAATATAGAAATGTGTATTAATGTGCACCCCCAAAAATCAAAAATCTCAATTTGCACCTTCAAAGATAGAAATTTGTATCAATATGCACCTAAAACTAACTACCGTCAGTTTGCTGTCTAAAATTAAATTGATAAATTATACTTAGATCCCCTCACACTTGTCACTTAATCATTTGAACCTCTTCATATTTAGAATATTACTCCTACATCTCATGACGTTTGTGCATGTGTAACACGTAACCCTTTTTAGTTGATATTTGTTAATATAATCATTAAAAATATGATTTTATCCTAATAAAAAATTATAACTTTATATTATCTTTTATTTTATGGGTCCGGTATACTCTAAAATTCAAAATCAAGTTTACAATTTGAATGTCCAATAAAATGTAGGTATTTATATAATATTTTTTATATCCAATGTAATATATCACTTAAACAGAATTATTTGAATACTCAATTGAGGGGACATTTTAGATTGAGAGTATTTTTATTAGGATTTTATAACCGTTAAAAAATATGATATTATCCTCATAAAAAAAATTATAATTTTATATTACCCTTTATTTTGTAAAGAGGTCCAAATGATTAAGTAACAAGCATGAGGAGATTTAGATACAATTTATCAATTTAGTTTCAAGCAGTAAATTAATGACAATTAGTTTTAGGTGCACATTGATATAAATTTTTATTTTTGAGGGTACAAATTAAAATTTTTGATCTTTAGAGGTACAAATTGATACAATTTTCTATCTTTAAGAGTATAAATTAAAATTTTTAATATTTGAGAATACAAATTGAGATTTAAACATCCTTTCGGAATTTAAAAAAAACTATAAACTTGTCATGATTAATTTTGACCACTCAACGACAAGGACCATAAAATTGTAGAATGGTAGAAGGCCCTCCCAACACTCTGAATTTTTTTAATAAAATAGTCAAAGCACGTTGTCATCTAGATACTTGAATATTTTATAGTTTTTTTTTGTGTATATATAATTTTTATTTATTAAATTGAAATAAGAAATAGTGATCCAGATACTCGGCAATATAAACCGTTAGAATTAGGTTTTTTTGAAAGCGAATAGTCATAACTCATAGTTCAATTTACAATTTTATGAAATAATCATGATTTCTTTATGTATTAATGGTTACAACGTAATAAATAGTCGCAAGTCACAACCTTTACGGACTAAAAACTTGTGATATTTTTATTTCATGATTTTTGGGAAACATGTTATTTGTCTATAAATATGGTCCCATTCGCGTATTTTGGCTATTAAATATTATTCACCAATTAGATTCTTTTCTTAAACTTATTTTTTATTGTGAGTTATTTGAGTATTTAAGAAATTTATATTTTAAAAAGGCATGTTTATTCAAATTTGTCGAATTGATTGTATGAGTGCACATCAAAAATTTTTGCTTGGCTTGTTTTATTTTGAGAGTAGGACGTCGGTGATTATTTACACCTAGGTGGTGGTGGTACTTTACTTTGACGTGAGCGGTTTCCATAACATGGCTTAAACGGAGTTCTATATTATAAGTTTTTCTTATTATTATTATTTTATCTTGGTGACTTAGTGTACTTTAAATTTATTGATATTTTAATTAGTGTGATAAGATAAATAAATTAAATTATTTTCAGGTTCATCATATACTATATCAAATATTGCTATCTTCAAAGTCATCCCACATGAATCAATTATCGTGACATTATAAAAAATCATATAGATTATGGTTCATTTAATTAGTTTATCCTCGACCTTCTTTTCGTACACTTGTGTAACAATGCCTGGCGACACATATTTTAGTGACTTGAAACAAAAATACACCCAGACTAGTCCTTTGGTTCCACCACACGCACACAAAGCCCACCTTGCCACGTGCGCGATCACGATCCACCTTAGTCGGGCTTGGGTATGAGTGTGGGTTAGACCTAAATTGGATTTGAAATTCTTAATCTAAAATTTAATTTCTTGTGCCCATTATATTTAAAATTCACATTAGTTTGAATTTTCATTTCCCTCTAGTTCTGAATTTTGAGTTTGTGTTTATTCATGAATAAATAGTTATTCAATGGTATTTTCTAACTGCATGTGTTGTTTGGATTGTATCTATTAGCATATATGATTGTTCGGATCAGTTACAATTCTATCTACAAATAACTCAAATTCATTACAATTCTGTATTGGTGATATTACGAATTAAGGTAGTCATTAACATTTATAATTTCGGCATTAAGCAATCTACATTTGTCAAGAGTACAACATACAATTTTGATTTGTTGGACATTTAGATTAGAGTGCTACTTTTACGTACACAAAAATTGTTGTATTTTAGGAGACATACTATTTGATTTTTAAAAACACTAATAATGAGAACAAAATCTGTCTTAAAGAGATAGTGTCAAACACTACCGTTGATGTATATAAAATTTGATAACAATTCTTGATATGCAAATATATTAGTTTATATATTGTTTAATTACAAATTTATATGTTATTATATCATTTTTGATTACCCATAACCTAACCCTTACACTACATAATTGTCGGTAAGAGGACGAGAACAACAAGAATTTCCGGTACGTGAAACGAGTCCTCCTTGTTAACTAAACTTTCATTGCAATGCTAACACATATTATTGAGGAGAGCCTGTTTGGTTATGCTAATTGGATTGTTCACATTCCAAGCCAAATATATGTTCCAAAAATGGCAAATTAAATATTGTGATCTTCAAAGTTATCTCACATGAATTAATTATCGTGACATTATAAAAAAATCTTATAGATTATGATTCATTTAATTTGTATATCCTTCGCATCCTTTTTCGTACACGTGTAACAGTGCCTCGTTGCACGTCTTTTAGGTGACACATCTTTATGTGACTTGAAACAAAAAGACACAAGAGACTTTATAGTTGACAATGACAAGGGATAACTAACTCCGATCCGCTCCTAAAAGTATAAAGCCACGTCGTACAAGCCCTTCCACGTCCTCTCCCAAGTCCATTCCCCCCTTTGTATATTCCAGAATCCAAGAGTCTTCATATCCC